GTAAAATGTATTGGAAGGTTTGTGAGTGCTTCTACGACATCTGGTGCGATCAGTGGGGCTGATCGGCACCACCCGTTCTGGTATCCTTGAATCTCAGTTATTAGTTCGCTTTCTTTGTTTTGACTGATCGTTCTGAGTTAATGCGTTTTCCTGCTAACGTCTTCGTTGTATCATATAGTTGTTTCAAATTTCCTTCCTCTGCAGCTTTTTTCACAGTCACTGCCAGGCCTTCCAAATACTTCCGCTCATTAGCTGTAATTCTTTTCTACACTTCTTTGTCTACTTCTGTGCATTAGGTCTGTTCTTTGGCTTCCTCCGCGCTAGTTCGACTATTGTTAATTGTTGTCTTTTTGTTCTTCCTTTTTTTGTGTTCGGCCCAGGGTTTCTCTGTAGATCCATGCATTATGATGATGCTTGTTGCGGTCGAGTACCTCGTGACACGTTGAATTTAGTTCTTCTCTAGCAACTTTCCGGCTTTCCCCCATATTAGTTTCATCTAGTTTCACCAGATATTGTAAGACTTAAGTCTGTTACTCAGAGCTATCCATTCCGACCTTAGTGTTTAGGTCTCCTATTAAGATTGTCAGTCCGTTTCGTGAGCATATTTTTACGATTGACTGAAGTCTCTAATAAAACTGATCTTTATCGTCTCCACCGCAGTTATTGATGGTTGCTTAACACTGGATAACATTCGTGTATTCCTTTTCTGAATTGTTTTAAGGAACGTTTTGATCGCCCTGAATACGTCAGACCCTACCCCATGAATGCTTTCAGTACAACCCATATATGGAAAGCATTTTCTTCTTCAAAACCAGAGTCCAACGGCGCCTCTGCCTCATATCTCTCTCGGGTGAAAATGCCTACACTTCAAAGGCATATTCTCAGCGACTCATATTGTTTTTATCGTTTGAGTCCCTTATTAATGGTCGTTTTATTTGGAATAGGGTTGCAAATACAATGGTCAACCTTTATCCTCTATCAGGGTTCGAGACAAGCTCTAGTTGAAATCGATTCTGAACATAGCTTTCTAAAAAGGATCAAAATAATGATAAATGCAACCAAAAATCCACACGCAATTTGAAAGTTAACTCAACATAATACGATTGGGGAAATGAACTAGGTTACATTACTCTGAAAGTTCGATCTCCTGCGTACTCATCAAGTAGTGGCTATTTACTGCTTCATATAATCGTTCGAATATTGATATGATTAACACAAAACAAATGCCAGGAGGCCAAGGCAACAGTCGAACAATTATTGTGGAATTGTATATTAAGGAAAGTCACTAAGAACAGGCTAATGTTGAAGAACCGTGGAAAAATGATTCTTTGTGACATTTCAGATGGGCACACATTCAAAACAATCCTTCATCCTGTAAGCCATATAGAGTAGAGAACAATCTGAAGAAGAGCATACTAGTGTGTTTCGCCTAAGGCCAAAATTAGATAAACTTTGATTTCTCCCTAAACCCTACATCTCGCTTGTTAACGCCAGATAAAATTATTTATACGCTTATCCAACAAAATGCCGCTTGTCACAGTTACTAGAATTTCCACAGAACTTGAGATATACCGTGCCAGTGCAGTCTATAATATCTTAACGAATCAACCAACCCATCACACTTAACTGTAACTATAAGATGAAAAGTCCCTCAGACTGACATCCCACCGAGATGGTATAGCTCTGTCATGCAGACATAGTCATCCTATATAACCTCTTTCTTTATAAATTTTATTCTGCCCCCAGCCTTAATGTGTTATGTAAAGGTTCGTAAAAACTATATATCTGACTATGGGACGAGTCTGTATAGACAGTGATATGACTACGACGTAAGATTCTGTGGTTAAGTAGTCAAATCATGGCAAATCCACACTGCTAAATTAGATTCAATATTCTAGTGACATAGATATATTCATTAATATTAGCCTAGACCTACGTTTCACGTCATTGTGGTAAACTCTAACGGATTACAAGGATGCCCGTTGGTTAGTAAATTCACTTCATGATTTTCAGGTTAAATGTTAAGTTCTGCTCAAAACTCTACGATCTACATTCTGGTGGAAAACAACATTTTTAGAGGCACTATTTTGCCAGCACACCAGACAGTTAAGACTTATGAACCATGGATTAAACATCGATGCATTATTATACAATAGTATAATGTGTGAGTTTCCAAACGAAGTATCAACAGTGCGATGTTTATCGTTGCTGACTGATGCATGTGAGAATATAAGTTACAACTATTCTTCCATGTTAACTAGGCAAGAGTTAACAACAAAATAACGTCTAGTCACGAACTAAACACACCGTAAACATACAGCTTCTCATGACTCTGTACAACATTAATAGATACAGTGGCTCATAAATTAATCTCCATTCACACTAGGTTCTAAGTTATAATGCTAGTGGACAGTTGGATCCTGAATTATGTAGACCTCCATAGATTCAGACTATTAAATTATCCTCGAATTTTCAATTTCCATCATAATGATCCCATGCCCCCAGTATCTCCATTTCTGACTTACCCATCAACAACTTCAACAACTCTGGTCGCTTACCATCTCAGAGATAGCGGATCCTACCTTCTAGTATGGTTTATAGGCATTTGTGGATCTACTCATTGGTGGTTTTCTATCCGTGATTATCAGCTCGCATGTTATTGAAGAGTCATGTAACAACAGTCTGGAGTATTGTCGCTACGTGACTGCCTTCCTTATTCCTCATGGCCAGTTCTTCCATCGATATTTGTCTGCACAGTTATATATGGAACTAAGCATTATCTAGTGGACGTAATATTGACTCTTGATGATGACGGATATTCATTTGCTTATAAACCATGGTTTAATGATTATCAGAGCATTTAGTGTTTTTTGATGTGTTTTTCAAAAGATGCTTGAAAAGTGCTAGGCGCAAGTGTTATTAGTGACACCTGATCACAAATTTGTCCATATCAAGCCAGCAAAAATTCTGTGAGGTTAGCATCATTGGTAGTTCCAAATACAGCAGAAGTATCGGCTAACTCTGATAAGAGCAAGACAGGTGAAAAAAATCATGGTTATAAGAGGGAATAAAGCCTCACATCTCAGACGTAGATTTTAAGCATCCATATTGGACGATTCAGAATACAATATTCATAAGTTAAGAGAAATGTCAGTTAGTCGGTATCATGAAGCATAAGACTGCGCGCTCCATCGTCGGCCAGAAGTCACCGCTATTTTATTGTTATCTCCTTGTTTGATTTGGTTTTACTTCAAGCATTAAGAAATTTAGTCACTATCTATATATAATAGTGCTGGTGACTACACAAATTATTTGTTTACTTACGCCTGTTACCCCTCAGAGAGGAGCAAAAGCCGATCACCATCATTCTCCATTCATCTCTGTCTCGGGCAACCCTTCTCAGTTGTTTCCAGTTGTTATTCACTCTTTCGATGTCTGCAGAGTGCAGCGTGTTCTTAGCCCTTTCTCTTTTTTATTTGCCATCAGGGTTCCAAGTTCGTGCTTGCCTCGCGATGTGATTTGATGATTTTCGTCATGTATGTCCTATCCACTTCCAAGGTCGTTTCCAAATTAACTCCAGCATGAAGATTGTTTATCCTCTCCCACAAAAGGCTGATGGTATCCGACCAATGGAAATCGAGTATCTTGTGTAGACAATTTTTTGGAAATACTTGTACGTTTTTGATGACGGTTGTGGTATTTGTCGAAGTTTCGGCTCCATACGGTAGAACTGTCTTGACGCTCGCATTGAAGATTTTGACTTTGATATTGGTTGACAGAGAGTTTTTTAGTTCGAAATGTTCTTCAACTGTAAGAGTACTGTACTTGCTTTGTCGATCCTCGCTTTTGCGTTTGCATCGGATCCTCCTCCTTCATAGATGATGCTTCTCAGTTACAAGAAAGATTTCACATCTTCCAGAGTTTTCACATCATGTGTGGTTGGGTCGGTGTTCTCTGTGTTGTATTTGAGGATCTTTCTTTTTCCCTTGTATATGTTGAGGCCTATTGATGCAGAGGTTTCTGCCACAATTACTGTGTTGACCCGCATTTGTCCGTGTGCAAAGGAGACTACACAGATACTTACTAGATAAAGTTGTATTTCACTAAAAAATTGACAATACAGAAATAAGTACGAATGGGGTGAAAACTTTTACTGATAGCCAGTTAGAAAGTCATATCTCGAAAGCTAGACGTTTAAAAACCTGTCGCATTCCCTGTGGACTTCTATGCTCCTCTCTATGTCAGACTTCGTGTTCTCTAGTCGACAAAAGTTCTTGAGACTTTGTTTTCTATATGTTGATATGAAATCCTATGTTCAAAATGAAGTTCGAAATTTTTCCGATTATTTGTCTACTGTGGTTTGGTCGGCTCCATATTGATTATTAATTATAACCCCGGAAATGATCGATATGACTTTATACCTACTTACAAACCCATATTAAAGCTTTTAGATATAAGGGGTTGGTAATGTTTTGGGCCAGAGTTTTGAACTTTAAAGGCTCTAGCTGTTCGCTAATATGACTCAGAAATTTTAACCATGAATTAGCACTTTTTGATTTCTTCTCCTTAATATCAACGTTTGACAGGCCGATATTGTGATATTTGTATGCTGACGTCTTCGCCCTATTTTCATTACATGTTGAAAACTAGTTGCTCCTTGTATTTAGATATTAATCTAACATTTAAAGTCTACAAAAAACATGTGTAGCTTCTGTTTTTAAGCACAATGAGACAATAGTGTTGACAGAAATTATATTTTAGCACCACCAAGTTGCCAAGAAAACTCATCAATAACCACCAAGCTATTATTTTCATGTTCATATGAGAGTTTTTGCAATTGTACACTGTACATTATCAATAAAAGTATGGTGTCTTAAATGGTATTTTAGCTTTCACTTATAAATCTTAATGTTATTTGTGTTCCGAAAGATACTCAATGATCATCAGGAGTTTGTATGACTTGTTCGTTAAAACAAGTCATATTTTGTGACGCTGGCAACCGTTGACATAACGCTTTGCCGCCATAGTGAGCGCCATAGTCACCGTAGCTGTTGGCGACTGTTTCCTGTCAACTGAGGTGGGATTTTCATTTTATGATTTAAATAGTAGTTTGCAGCCTTAATGGTGTAATCCTAGTAATAAAAGTCCAAGCAACATGTAATAAGTCAGATAGATGTTATTTTATATTTCGAGCTATTGTAGTCATATAATCAGTCCAGTCCTTCCAATATATTTGTGACTGTTGACCAGGACGGTGAATGACGAGTCTCATTATTGTAGCCTGGTTTCAAAGTATACCCGGTTTATAGAAAGCTCCTAAAGTTCCATAGAATTCTCTGCCTAGTTAAACATCACGAATAGCTTTTTCTGCAATAATCCGTGTTGCACTCCTCGACCTGAAATTCGTTCTCAAACAACACTCCAAGTACTTTAGTTACAATAATACAAGAACAAAGGAAGATTCATGGGCTCCGTCTGATTATCTTACTCGAAGTTTACCTAGGAATTCACCTTTTATCATATCTTGATGAAAATCAATCCGCTTGCAAGTCGACTTGGGTACTGTTGTTGTTATGGTGGTTGGTATACCACTATCCCTGGGTATTTATCCATCAATAGATAGTATAAATGGTTATCCATACTACAATCATGTGCAGATTCAGCGGTCTAGAGTTTTGTAAAAGTATATTTTGTCAGTTGACAAACTGGAATAATAATATTTCGGTTTCGTTATCAACCATACAAATTAGTGAGTGTTGCTTAAGCACTTTGCTTCTGTTAGCTCTCAGTCTAGAGAACCTGCAGTTTCCTGTAAAGCTCGTATTCAGAGAATTAGTCGTTTCTAAGACACTAATACTGTTCTACTCCAGTTCGTGACACATTCTCCGTGTTTATTTGTTCAAAGAACTTCCCCATCTTTTTTTCAAGTAATGTTAGTCAAACAAGGCTGCTTGTCGTCCACTCATTACCCTTATCATTTTGAACCAATTAAGTTCTGAGTTTAGAGTCTTCATTGTAATAATATACTTCATTTGTATAACTTTCGCTAATAGTTATGGAAATAATGGCTTCAATCGATAGTTTAACATTACCTTCAAGTCAAAGAGCATAGCTACAGATGAGTGTCAAAATCTAGATATAACATTGTTCAAATGACACATTATGCTCCGAAATAGGCCTAGTTTTATGGGTTAATTGTTATCGAGCTCTACTAAAGCGTAGGATTGTACTTCAGAAAAAGTGGAAGTCTTTGACTATCTTTAATCGTATATGGTGATTAATATATTTTATTTACATCCATCGTACGGAGTTATCTAGTTTGATTTTCTCTTTATACATTTCCCGAATTGTCACTTGATAAAAATAAACTATCTACAATGCGCATTTGCTGTAAATAGTTTACACTATGTTGTCGGGTGGAATCCTAGAAGACCTAGTTGTTTATCTTTTTGCGTAAATACGTCTACTTGGTTGTTAGTTACCCATTACGGTAACTATGATTAGGCCACGGTCATCCATTTAGTGCTGGTAACTTCTAAGTTCAAAGACAAATAACTATCAGATCCTTGGTTGTCTTATGACTTTCTGCACGGAATTACATTTGTAAGGATATTAACATAACATCATAGTTTACACATTGTGCGACTTCGTAAATTAACCAACAATTCGGAACGTAGTTAAATAAAATTTCTTGTATTCTGATTAATTTCTAACCATTACATAACAAATTGATCCTTTATTTCATGAAAACTGGATTACGATGTGAGAATCATCATGTTTCTGTTGGCTATTATGTTGTGGGCGTTGCTATAGCTAAGTAGTTATAGACAATCGACTCATCAGTTTAGGCGCACCTCACCGAAATGTTTGACATGTGATACACCTAAAGGTGTGCACTAGAAGCAGGTTAAGTAAAAGTTTACGGAAATCATAAAAATTTGTAACAGTCTCCATCATGTCCACTAGTTATTAGTGACTATAAGTATATTTTCATGAATAGTAATACATGGATCAAACCTAAACTCACCCGTGTTTAGAAAAGAGACTGTCTTTTCAATATAGTATGATTAGATTACTTTAAAACTGCTTTTATTGTATTTTTCACATGGTAGCTTCCATACCCTGTAATTTATTTCCGTCGTAATCTACTTCAGCGTAACTATTAAGTATCCTTTTATTTTGGCGTAATAGGATTGCCCAGATTCATTTTCTGTCCACATAACCATCTAATTCCGATCTACTTTTCACTAGTATATCCTCTTGGGGGAGATTACTCGATTTAATTTATTTTCATGTTTTAGGTGCACAAATTTTCACATTTTCACTTACAATCAAAACCATGCAATCAGCGTCTGGTCCAGGTACCACCATTGTTCATCTATCTCCGAAAAATCATACAATTTTACAACAAGGTGGTCAACATGTCCTACTTAGTAAAATTGGTAAAGTGAAATATACTGACAATTAATATTTCATTTTAACGATAGCTTCCGACTCTACTAGTAATCGTCCACCAACAAGTGGAGTGGAAACTAGTTTATTACAAACAGCACATTCAAATAACTCACAAACTATATATCCAGCACATTATATTGAAGCTATCGCTGAACAAACTGTTTATACTGCAAATGGAGAAGGCGGGTAAGTATGTTCTTTGATTGTATTTGTATGTTTATTAAACGGTTAATGCACTTTGTACTATGTAAACAGTTACAGTGTCAAAGGCTTTCATTTCGTTACGAAAAATACCCTGAAAATATTAACAAATGGATTATCCATTTTCAGTCTGTATTTCCATTCCTCAGAAGGTTTTGTATTGTTCAGTAAATATACTCTGATGGGGAATTATTTTAGTTATCAGTAATATTAACCTTGTTTGTAAAAATCGTTCCATCTGTTGTTGTAATTGGCTTACTCGACTGACTTCAGCCAGTGAAGTATTATAAACGAAGAATGGAACTTAGGATCTCCAGGTCTTGTGGTGATTCTATCACCTTTAGACCCACCAAGTCGGAGTCCAGCTGTCAACATATCCGACTTTCATGGTTTCACGATAAATTGTACTATTTATGAAAATTGTCTTAATTCTGATATGAACGAGCACCGGTTGTGGCTTCTTGCCACCACATCTAAAATCCGTTTCAAAGTTAGTTACTAGCGACCATGCTATTGGTATTTGGTCTAGTAGATTGTGGAGATGTTTCCAAAGTTTTATATCAGATGGAATATGAATTAACTTTTATGTGAACGGGTGTATATATATACCAGATACCTCATTTTTACACTGATCACAACAATAAAAATCCTCTCCAGTTTTATGTATTTTAATTTACATCACAGTTTTCTATGCTTCTACTGCTCTTCTTTCATTCTCTTTGGGTTCTTATCAAATTTCTTGATTTTCAGTGGGATTCTCGAAATTAAGTCTGGTACGCCATTAAGAAAACTATTTGCATCAGTCACGAAATCTTTGTCTGGGTAATTTATGCTTGATCCATCTCTCTAGAGTTTCGTTTGTTGTTATAAAATAATTGAGTGGTTGATTTGGACAATGGAATGAGGAAATTATACTGCTATCGCTAACCCTTTTTCTCTCCCCCAAATCATCATTATTTACTCGTTTTAAATTAATCTAATTTTACCCTCTTAACCCCCCTGTGCTTGTGCGTGTGTGTGTGTGCTTTTTGGTACTCCTAACCCCCGTTTTAAAGTGCTATGTATTTTATATTGTATGTTTGAATATTATGGAATGACATTTAAGTGCATGTTTTTTGATAATTAGTTTGTTAATTGGAATGGTTTATTAACAAAATGACAGTAGTTTTGTTTGAGGTATAATTGGTAATGAATTGATATTAACATGTATTATTTTATAGGCATGTTGGTCGGTGGTATATGTCGACTTGCATGAATTTTACTGATCCGATTGGGTACAGTCAAGTCTTTATTATATTGCCTTTATTTTTTTAAATTTGTTGGCTATTTAATTAGTTTGCTTTCAAGCTGTTCAGTTATTTTATTGAGCTATAGTTATAGTTATGCATGATCTGTCCAATATACATATATATTTACAGAAACTGATCTATTAATAGTCTTTAATGAAACCCAATGGTGCACATGGGCTCCAGTATCCTGAAGGAACAAATGGCGTATGAACCAATTGTTGGTCACCGGCTTCCATGGGACTGCATCTCCTTACGATGCTCCACTGCCTTGCGGATCAGATCTTCAGGTCGGAGGCTCGGGGAGTGGCCCTCTAAGAAAACTACCTGCTTCGGTTTGGGCACCCGAGCAGTATCACAGCTCTCACACATCGAATGAGATTTGTGTGGCGTATATGTATTTGGTGCCTCCTTGTACCAATATCTATGTGCCTCCTTTAATGAAACATAAGAAGTACTCTTAGAAAATGTATCAAATACTATAGATCATTTATTGAGAAAAGAAAAACAGCTGTTTACAAAGACTGGATCAGGTAATTGTGAACGAAAACTACAAAACACTTCAATTTTAACTGAAACCCAGAAATAAATCATTGGTGTATACAATTCTATAAAACATAAAATGATAAAATAACTGGAGAGTGTAACTTCTATGAACATCCAGGAACATATATATTTTAACGAATCAGTTGTGAATGTATTTTCATGACTTTAAATTGGATCAAATCATAATAAATTGTTTGAACAACCACTTCAGTTCATCTATTCCATTGGACAGACTGTACAACAGTAATATGATTTTGTTTAAGTTTATCTTATTGGTTTTCGTTTGTTTTTCTTTTCTTTATTAAATATCTAAATAATATTTTACATTGTATTATTACTAACAACATATTTGTTGAATATTTTTTTCTACATTTATTTCCTTTATTAGACAATATCAAGAATATACACCGATTATTTATGCTCCTGTTTCAGGCGGACCAACATATTATCAAACAGCTAATGGACAAGTTAGTATTTTCTTTATTATTATGACTGTTTTGAATAGTTATCAAAAGTGATTTTCATTTTGATCTAATGTGATGGATTAGTCGGTCAGTAGTGAACATTCATTTACGACTCTTTGAGACATTCTCAAATCTTGTAGTGATAATTATTTTTAGTGTGTTCAACTTCAATTTTTATACTGTTGTACAATTCTTATCTGAAGTTATTAATGATATGTCTCTCTGATTGGATTTCATTGATCCCAATTTCTCATTAATGTATTCAGAAATCTATTTTGAAGTTACCTACGGATAAGCAAATGATTATTAATATTTTTATTATTTCAGTTGACATTGCTCAAACAATTTCGAGGTTAAATGCTACATAAAAAAGTGCTGAATCAGTCAATAAGATACTAAATTATTATCGACTGAGACCACTTGGATATGTGTTATATATTCTCAACCACCGCCTACGCATCTAAACGCTCAGTATTGTCAGGGCTAGGAGTGATTGGTACGTTGAATGAAAGTTAAAGGCGGTTATATAAACACAGGATTTCAGTCCATTAACCGCTTGTCAGTGTGAATAGGCTTAGACTAACTAGTTGGGGTTCACGTGATGACTGTATTTTTGATTTACGTAAACATGTGAACGTTGGTACAAAGGGGCCCGATTTCGTAAGCAAAACCTCTATAGTATAAAGGCAGTGAATAGAAGAGAGTGAGATTTAAATCCATCCAACCTTGGTTGTACTTGGAAATATCGGGGCATTTGAACATCACTAGTTATTGGTGATCTTGAGCAGTTAAATGGTTAATAATCAGTCACAGTGGTATAAATGCATTCTGTATCATCTTCCCATGCATTCCAGTTTCGACTATCCTCCTTCCCTCGAATCTTAAGACACTATGTAGTTTTTGGGAATGTAGGGTTTTATCCATTGTTCCCTTGTTGAACTGTATACTTTTTCCTTTCTGTTCCAAAATATGATGAATTAGTGCGTCATAGTTTAATACGAAATTTTACACCATCTTTATGTATTGTATCTGTCTAATGTATTTTGGAATTTTTTTAGGTTTTAGCTACTGCGTTTGGTGCAGCGAATAGTGCAACAGGTCATGTTGGTGCCTTACATACTGCTGCGGCGGCACATGCAAATTTAACTGCCACAGCTGGTGTTGGTCACGCCCAATTAGTTACACACCAAGGTGCAACATATTTATTACAAAGTGGTCAATTAGATGATGACGGATCCTCCATATCCCATACAGCAAAAGCTAGTCCTGTCACTGTAAGTAGATATTGAGTACTTGGTAGTGATTTCATTTTTTATGTGTCTATATTTAAACAGAAATATTGGTCTAGTCCTAAGCGATAAGAAAATGAGTTTTTTAAGAGGTGGAGAAAAAGTAAGTATAATTGAGTCAAAAGAAACACCAATTGATAAAAATGTGAATAAGTGAAAAAATCAATGAAATAAGCAGTTCATTTAAGAAAAAAAATAACCAGAAAGGTTTCTCCTAGTTGAAGTTCTTCACCCTCATATAAAGGAAGTAAGAGGAAATTACAACACAATCGCCAGTGACTTCTATTTCTAGCCAAGTTACTGTGTTGTATTGTCTCTAAGACCCCGACCAAGAAGTCGTGATGGTCTGACGGATGTCACTTCTGTACAGCCTTTCATGCCACGACACCATATCATAAACTGACCACTTCTTCGCTTTTTGCAGTTAGTCCTAGCGTCGGCAAATAATTCACAATGTGAAATCAGCTGAAACGATATTGGTAGCATACGTCTAAGCCATTGAGGCTGGTGTTTTTTTTTGGGGTGATGACAGTAACTAGATTATTGTAACTTTACCCGAATAAATGTTGGTGAACCTCTGCAGTACTAAAATGGTGTCACCATTGAGTGTCAGTAGTCGTTCGGATACAACGATGGTTGAACACAAAGACTTGCCTAACGTCCTCAACTCGGAGAGGCTAGTTTTCACAAACATACAGCAAGCCTCTCATCGACGCGTTGTAAACCTGACCTTTTACAGGCAGACTAATATCACAAAGGCACTAAAGATGGCTCAGACTGTCATAAGCCGCTCTGGCTTTCACTATACGTAAGTTGACCTCATCAGTTACGCCACCACCACCACTTACACAGCTACCCAAATACACAAACTCTTCGACTGATTCTAACTGCTCACCATCAATAATTGGTTTTATTCCATTGTTTAATCGTTAAATTTTTGTTCAATATACCTGTAACTCAATTTCGTAAGCTCTATGGACTCTTACGATGGGATTATCTTTTAAAGAATGATACGCTCATGAAAATTTTATCAACATTTTGAAGTCTATACAGAAAAAAACAAACTTAGGCAGAATTAAGGCACACCAATACGTTTTCTCATTATTACAGTCGAAAATGGAGTTGAACGAACAAGTTTACTTAATTTCACCATCCCCTTTTAATCTTACAACTAGTTATGATCTCTTATTGCTTAGTATTCCTGGACACTACTTCACTTGACAAGTCGTCAAACCAGAACACGGTTAAACAGGAACGTAATTATATTCAAAATAAACAAGATTGAATGGGAGTAAGAATCGCAATAAGAAAAATGTTAGTATATTTATAATTTTGTACGATATTCTAGAGTCTTCTTCAAGTATCCGCTAACGTTGATTGACTAATAAATGGTCAATCAACGTACTCCAACTCAATCCTGCTCCCAAATGCCCTGGTATGGCCGAGAGTGGGGTGGGCCCTCCCTCCCTCTCGAAATGCTCTCACACGGCCACGCGTATGCAGCCTCTGCCAGGGAAGTCCTACCCGCTGCCTTCTCGTGGCGGGGGTGTTGTTTACGAAATTGAAAGGACGAAAAGCGAATGTCCGGCGCTTTAGCCGGATTCCAAACCAATGGTGCACATGGGCTCCAGTATCCTGAAGGAACAAATGGCGTATGAACCAATTGTTGGTCACCGGCTACCATGGGACTGCATCTGCTTATGATGCTCCACTGCCTTGTGGGTCAGACCTTTAGGTCAAAGGCTCGAGGTGTGGTCCCCTAGGAAAATTACCTGCTTCGGTCTGGGAACCCGAGCAGTATCTCAGCCCTCACACATATAAAATGAAATTTGTGTGGCGTATATGTATTTGGTGCCTCCTTGTACCAATGTTTATGTGTTTAAATAAATAAATAAATAAACAATCCTGCACGGAATATTCTTTAATCCAATCAATATCTTGCTAACACGATTGATGTTACAGGAGATTGCTCTACATATACTGGAGTTTGAAGTAGTTTATGCGTTAATGTAGGCCATCTCTAATGCCGTCATAATATCAGTTTATCTGTAAGAGGTTGAATATACAATGCCTCACCGACCTTTGTTCTGCTCTATGCTTGTAAAACTTGGTCTCTCCGATCTGATGATATATATTTTTGTGTGATTGTTTACATTCAATGACAAGAGCGTGGAAATAATGTCGAGGTCCAACATTGAGCATTCTCGCAAACTGATTATGATAATGCACTTAATTTCATTATCTACAAACAACAGCTTTAGTATTTCGAACATGTTTTACGAATTTTGTTTCACTGTGTATTCTTTACCAATATTGGAACAATCTAATTCGAGAAGTAAGAATAAGAGGTATAAAATAATCTTAAAACTCAAAACCTAAAGGGTTAACAAAGAATGAATACATCTGTGGCACTGCGACTGACTTTTAATCATCTCCCCCAACGTCTACAACCTCTGACCATAGTTACCACTCGGATCCCAACCACATCTGCCTCAGAGTACCGTTCGATAAATTCATGCACTAATCCTATGTTCTAGTTCAACCACCCTTTGCTATCTTCGCACTTAACCCCCTACTCTGCCCAACCAAATATCAGGGTAGGCGGTAGTAGGTTATATATAATGCATTTATTAAATACCAATCTAGTTCACTGATACACATGTTGATAATACAATCAATTCCATCTCTTGTTTCTTTACAATATTTTGTGTGACACCTTGTTGTTATTACCTTACTGTACCATAATGTCTTTTGTCTGTTTTATACACACAAAAATAAACTCTTACTCGATAAATCTTAGATCTGGTACATCTTACATAATCTTCAGTTAGTTAATCAATGAACAAGATGATCTTAAACGGTGTTCAAAATGTCGGTAGCTGATTATCGTTTCCCAGCTGTATACACACTATTCTTAAGGGATCTGAAAATGAGACTAGGTTACTAGTAGTAGTAGTAGTAGTGGTCTTACTGATCTAGGAGAATGATAACAGAGCTCAGACGACAACAGCTGCTGAAACCCAGCTACATACAACTTTTTCGTCAATAGTACTTAATGTGTTAGCTTCGTATATTAATATACATTACAGCTGGCGACTGAAATCCATATGATGTACTATTTATAAAGCTTACAATCTAATGGTATATGTATGTTGCATTTGTTCCTTGACCTATATTAAACTTGTTTTTTTTTCAACATTATTCACTAATAAAGCAAATTGTTTCTTATCATATTTTAGGTTCAATGGCTTGTTGATAATTACGAGACAGCTGATGGTGTTAGTCTTCCACGTAGTACATTATATTTTCATTATTTACAACATTGTAATGAACATAAATTAGAGCCAATGAATCCAGCATCATTTGGTAAATTAATACGTTCAGTATTTTTTGGCCTACGTACACGACGACTAGGTACACGTGGAAATTCTAAATATCATTATTATGGTATTCGTATTAAGCCAAACTCACCTTTAAATCATTTTATCGAAGATGCTGGTTTCTCACTTCGACATTATCCTAATTATCATCGTCAAACAATGGAAGCTGCAGCTGAATGGAAAAATTTCACAAATTCTTCGTTAAATCGATTGAAATCTTTAAGTACAAATGGGAATGGAGTCAATAGTGGAGGTGTTGGAGTTGGGAACACTTCTTTTGGATTAAATAATTTAGCATCTCATGTTCATTCAACATCACATATCTCATGCAGTAATGCCAGTAGTAATATTAGTAGTAGTAATTCTCAGTTATCATCTCATTACGGTACTAGTACAACAGTGACAACATTCCGTTCTTCAGATAAATCAATGTTAAATAATAATCTTTATGTTGGTAGTGGAAGTGTTTCTTCACATTCCACCAGTCAAAATGTTGATAGTGTTACGACAAATTCAGTAACAAGTCCTTTATTATCTTCTAATGGTGTTGGCAATGGTCAACATCATGCACATTTTCTTGGTGAAGCTAGTTCCGCATTGCCTAATCTAGATGAAATATGCCGATCATCTGGTCTTCCTGTGCCAAGTGAAGGTAAGAAACACAATCTTGTTTATCTATTTATATATAAATTCATAATTGATTCATTTCATCAAAAGAACTAACTTATATTTAGTAGACTCGATGAATGTTCGTGTGACATTTTTCCATCAGGATCCTGGATCACATGTACACCATTAGTTTAGAATTGTGGTTTTCCAACCCCTAAGTGGATCCTCCACATACACCAACCGGTTAAAGCGTTAGACATTCACTTTTTGTTCTCTCAGTTTCGTAAAAAAACCCTCATGCCGCGAGAAGGCAGTGAGTTAAACTTCCCTAATAGTGGCCGTGTGAGGGCATTTTGAGAGGAAGAGTGGATTCTCCTCACCTTCGACCGTACCAGGATATCTGGAGGAACGATGATTTCAATGTTCTATCAAATCAATTCTTCCGTCATAACACTAGGCTAGAATTGATTGGAATATGCGATTACTCATTCCTGATCGCTGACAATACCGTGACTTAATCAAGATACATCCACACCTTTTTGAAATTTATAACCCCCCTAAATAGTCTTATTTAACAAAATTTCACAGTCTTATCAATCGATCCACCTTCCATACGTTTTATTATTCTAATCAAAACCTAACCATTTAGTCATCCAATGTGTTCCACTATACGTAGTCAGTATTTTGTAGATACGTATATTAAAAGGAGTTAATAGCATTCTCATCACACCTTCCCAAAGCATATTCCACAGCAGTTCTGTGAACACCGCCCTCGTTACAACCAGTTAGTCACAACGTAAAACCTGGTACGTATGCACATCAAGTTGCTGTACCTTATTAGCACAGCGAGATGAAATCCTGTAGGTAAGCTCCAGAGTAGTGGGGGTAGTAATAATTGTAATAGAAGAGATCAGAGATCAGAAAAATTATGCGGAATCTCGAAGCTTAGAAGACAAAAAGTTGATACAACTGCGCCTTTGCAAATAATTTTGAGTGATTACATTGAGTCTTTAACCACTCATTACGATAATCATGCGGACCCCAACCAGGTAGTCTACACATATTAACATCACTCAGTCCAGCTTCTAGTGGCTTTATGGACCGATGCTACGTTTTGAATTATCTGCCCCTAGCTTACTCTTACAACGTACAGCATCGCCCATCTAAGTTGGTGGTGGTTGAGCGTACGTAACACGTATCCAAGGGATCTCATTTGATGAAGATTTACTGCTTCACTAGTCGATTTGTTATCCTTACCCAGTACCCCATGCCTAACCTCGGGGTTGCCAACTCAGTGGTCTCGAAATGCTCGACCAAGATACCTAATCTACAATTATGTTGATGGCAGTTTCACACCCATAAAGTAGAACGGAGCGAAATGCTGGGCAGTAAATTCGTCCTTCGGTTGGTAGATGTATATCTCGCTTACATTACAAGTAACGCAAGTTGGCAAAGTTTAATCGAGCTTTCATGATCCGAGATGAGATTTCGCCAAACACCAGCCCATCAGGATTGATGAGATTCCCAATTTAAGTGAAGCATTCAGCACCCTCAACTACTTCACTCCCTATCATTAATTCAGGTGCTGACACAAGCTAATCCTGAAATAATATTTTGTATTTGGCGCGAGAGAATCGCATTCTAAACATGCTTGCATTCCTGCTTCAATTGTTTATGAGACTGGATTTTTGAGCATCTTCACCCAACAGAACTATTTCATCTGCGTATTCCAAGTCAACAAATAAGTCTCCTGATAAGAGATCAGCCTATTGAAAAATCTGACAATGAATGTCGGAAATATATAACAAAAACCAAAACGTGTATGTGTGTCCCCTACTTAAATTTATTCAGTCATCATCTACTAAGGTGTGATTTAAATCACAATATTGATAGTGATCACCGATCACCATGTGACCAACTACTTTATTTTCTGTGATCAAATTAGGCATTGGCACATATCTATCCCAAAGTAATGTTTTTCATTTGAGAAAAAACATAGGAGCACAGATCTTGGATGTCCTTGAGGTATTCGGAAGGTAGTGGATTTCATCTCCATACTTTAAATCTTTCTTTCCCTATGTGTGTATCTGAAAGTGTCTATATAGAAGATCAATCTTTGGAAAGTTTAACATAAATTATTCACCTTCAGAACCACGTATTGAGGATAATTTTTGAATATAAAAATAAAAGGGAAATTAATTGACAGTTTACCTTTATCTTTAATTCATCATTGTTAGTTGAAAATGTTCAATGACAAGTACATTACTACATAGAATGAATATTCTTCTAAATGATGTTTCTTATGTTTTATTTTTGTTTTCTTACAATCTATCAGTTGATTTGCCAGAGAATAAAAGTCGTTTAAAAACAGTTGAAACATCGAATAATTTATCAACAAATGAAGATGTAATTACATTTTGTCGTCTTTATGCTTTATCCGCTGGTTATATGCTTGATGCTGTAGTAAATTTAGATTTTACTTCAATTGAAACAGTATGGAAAGCATTTTGGTGCACTGAAGAAGTACGAGTAAGTATTAAAAATATTATCGATTTTTTTTTCGACTATTCAATTGTATTTATATATATTCATGTATTCACAATATTCTCAATCATCAATAGGGTAGTATCGTTAAAAAGTAAATTTCTCAGAGACTGTGGTACATTTGAATTTCAATCACTAGCAGGTTATGTTCAAACCCCAGCTCAGGTGCTTTAGACTAAGCAACTCTCACACATAAAAGTATACGTTAAAGCCAAGTCTATGAGTATATAAAACTTCATCGACTGAGGGATGCATCACAGTTACATCAACCTTCGAGTTCTCCGACGAGAAATACTGGGTTGAAAAGAGCCAGAATTGTAATATCATGTCAGCGACTTTTGATATAAAATTCTTGGTTGGGCCCCATGCGTTTCCTGTAATCAGTGATTGATGACTGACTGAATTGCATTATCTCAAATCTTTCACAACTGCTTGGTTGGGACTAAGTAGGTTTACTTCGCTTTTCTGTACACGTGATAGCGATGGCTTCTAAAAAGCAGAGTGAAGGCTGGATGCATTGCTAATCAATTGTTATGAACACCTTTGAGATATTTCATATCCATTATCTGTTAGATCCTTGATAATTGTATATGCAAAGATCTGACGTCAATTACACTTGATTGCTTATTGAGCAGTTAACTATGTTATATATGTATGAGATGTAAGGTGATGATGATTGGAGGTAGACGACAGGAAATTTAACCTAGATTTCGTGCCATTAGGTACTTATCACCAAGGTGTATCTGTAGCGTCTCTTACTGAGGCTGAGTGACATGGGGTCGAACCCTCCAGGAAGTTCCCTTAGGATTATAAGTGCAATTTTCTTGTCATTCCCAACTAGCACGAAACCTAAGTCGTGCAGGGTTTCCTGTCAACTACCTGCAACCACCGCCATACATGACTACCTTTCAGTCGCACATTCCCCTCTACAGGTACGATTGACCAAGACAGTTTCTTCGTTTGAGGATTTTAGTCTTTACAATCTTCGGAATACTCTTTCATCTAGTTCACCTAATTATTATTTAAATAATTTCAAAGTCTAAGATTTATGTTAGTTTTGTTTATTGTGTTTATTTTTTGTTATTGGTAGGATTCTCGGTTAAAACAAAGTTTATCACAAGAACGATTATATTCACTCGTGTCCGATCCGGCCATTTTACAATTCATTCGACTTTATGATCATACATTCTATCAATCATTAGCTGAAGTTTTAATACCAAATGTACTTCGACCTATTCCGCCAACTCTTACACAAGCAATTCGTAATTTTGCAAAATCTCTTGAAGTGAGCCAATTTTTTTTAGAAGGAAGACTATTATTACTTCATATTACGATAAATTAGCAGTCCAATGTCCCCTCCGTCTTCTCTTGGCATCTAATATTCCTTAACAAATTGACATCAGCTTGTGATGAAAATCCACTGAATCTGTCGACTAGATAACTATTGAAAACTAGGAAACGCTAACTTTTGTTTTGCCCTAATATGAGGCTCTTCATAATTGCCGACGCAAAATCCTACCAGAGATTCGAACTAATCACTTTCAGGCTTCTTGGCGAATATATGTTAGACCACTCACTGAGTTGGGATTCATTGATGTTAGTTAAAATCATTTCGTAATGTAATCTACAATTTTATTTAGGATATGTTCTACGGAGGAAAACTTAATGCAAATGTTTATCAAAAGTAATGTAATTAAACAGTAGTCCACGAAAAGTTCCTTTTTAAAGGAGAAGATCGTCTACATTCGCGAGGGTTCCAAGAGGAACTCATTGCTCCTTCCTTTTTTAAGTGAATGAAGAAAGACACTTTTGATCTTGTTATTCGAATAACCCCACCAGATACCTCTGGAAAAAAAACTTTAAGGCTAGACACACGATGTTTTTATATTATCTCCATAGTTTTCAAACCTTGTCATCTAGACTAGGAATCTGTTAAGTATTAATAAGTTTGTTTTTCAGGACAGATATGTTTTATCTTCTGTTCGTATAGAAAAACACCATCGCTGAAAATGTTAATGCTGCCACAATCTTCATTATAGTCAACAGCGATACATCATTATTCCTATTCGTTGTTTAATTTACTACTTTCTAACGGACTTACCTACATCTTTTACTAATAAGGGAACCTCAAACAACATGTGTTTAATTCATTCACATATGTACCATTTTCTACATTGCATATGATTTACTAAATTATCTGGTACATTCAGATATTGCAATTTGTATGTTGCTAAGTTATGGATTTTTTATTGGTTGTTAATAATAATCACCTACTCCACGGGGGTTAATTTCAAGAGATAATTCTCAAATTTCTAGTGAGAATCGACGCAACCAATGGAGACAGTTAACTAATAATGGTTTATTTCAGAGAACAACTGAGCTATATCACGAATAAACTGAAGTTAGGAATATAAATTGAGTGAGACTCAGGTGGGGACGACCAATTGTATTTTGATACAAAATTACAGAGTTTATTAGTAAAATATAAGAACCATACACTCAATACTTCATTTGCAAATTTCCATCATTTATCCTTCACATTCTGTATGATTCTTCCAGTCCACAATTCCTTTCTATTTTCCCTTCTTTTCTCTTTAACTCAATTTTCTTTGCCTCCTGCTGCCAGGTTTTCCACTTCACATTAGTCTTACGTACTACTTATATTGAAAGACATAAGTAACATACACCACTAAACCTTTGAATACTGACTTAGTGATATAAAGGTTAAACGTTAATTATAAGATTTGGAGATTCTGGGTTCAATTCCCGGTGAGTTTGTAGATGCTCACTTATAAAAAACCCCATGCTATGACGAAACAGCTGCCCAATGCTTTTTGGTTTTTAGTATTTGTTTAACTAAATTGAATCTATGATGCAAACGATACGATTCATTAATCTTCACAAACTTTATACACTAATACAATTTGTTCTCTCCTATATACTTTTTTTACAAGGGTTGGATGCGTCAAGCTATACAAGGTTTAGATACAGATCTTATTAATTTAAAAATATCCGCTGTATGTGCATTAGCACAAACTCTTCGACGTTACACTAGTTTAAATCATTTAGCTCAAGCTGCTCGTGCTGTATTAAAAAATGCTAATCAAATTAATCAAATGTTGGCCGATTTAAATCGTGTCGATTTCAATAATGTACAAGTGAGTATTTCATTTGTTGTTGTAGTATGTGGTATCATAGTAAAAAATGTGTTTCATTAATCATCAGTTTATGCGTCTTCATTATTTAATTCATGAAATTTATAGTAGTAATAGTCGTTCTTATGTAAGGGATATTATTCAGTTGAATTCACTAATCCACCTAAGCTAGACTACCACTGAAATTCTGGAAGCATCGGACATCCGTTACATCCTAATATGGAACTCAGCGTTGCGCATCCACGATCCTGCACGCGGGAATCCAGCCCAGGGTCTTCGGTCTCGCACGCGAACGCCTAACCTCTAAACTACTTAGCCGGCACCCAACGCTGTTAATTTCACTACGAATTATCATCCATCAGAGTACCATTGAGAAAAAGAAGACTAGAGGACACTGTTTTTTGTCATTCTAGTTTAGGAGATTCATTAGAAGTAAACAAATTGATTACAGTTGAAAATATGAAACCATTGTGGTTTCGATGCACTGCTAAGGATTCTCAAGCTATGGCACAAAACATCCAATATTTCATACTTTTCAATATTATCTGTAATTTAATGTTCATCTTCGACAATTACATAGGTTTCTGTCAATGGTCTTCAATCATGCAGCATGATTGAAATCTTGGTGAAGATTTATAGTTACAGTGGTTGCTTTCAGTGTTATTAAGTTCTCTGAGATTAGGTGATTGATATATGGATCTTTCATTTCTGTCCTGGATAACAACATTATCAGCTTCCTATTTATTTCACAAGCGTTAATTCAGTTCTTTCTGTTGGCTTTGTTTGTGATGAGTTAACAGAAACATTAGTTATAGGAAACGATGGGCATACAAAACTGTATGAATTCGTGGAACAGAAGATATAAGATAACTCTGAAGCTTAAGATTGTCCTTTGTTTGCCTACGTCACAAGTGACGTAAGTTGTAAAACGCCAACCATGCTTTTTAAATTCGTGTTGAGATTCTATACAACAGTTTGCTCCGTTCTACTTTATATGTGTTAAATCTGGCCATTAAGACTAAAGGATATCCGTAAATTTCTTGTATTCGATCATAGATATCTTCGAAGTATCGCTCGTACATTTTTAAAACACTGATTGAGCAACTGTCGCGTTAGACAGTACTAGGTAGGGATAGCAAATCGACTGATAAAATAATGGGTCATTATCAACTGAGATATTTGTGACATGTAATACGTTTGGACATCAACCGACTACTTCGATACCTAATAATGGCCGATTCAGGAGTAGGCTGGAAGAAGTTGGAGATAGTCAAACGATGGTATGAGATCAGTCCATGAAAATACTGATTGTTGAACTGAGTCTTTTAGGTAGGTCCAGACCACCAGGTTGAAGTGGGCGTGATTATCGTAACCAATGTTTTGGGTGATATGGCTTGAAATTGTTCACAATCACTTGGATGAATTCAATTCTTGTCTTCTTCCAGAACCTGATCCCGAAATATTATACCCTATGTTTTCTTTTTCTCCACTACTATTATTCTGCAGTTTTTCTTGTGGTAGTTTTTATCTATCTGTATTAATTTGGTATGGCAACTTGAACCGACACACATATATGTCAGGTTCTACATTGTGTATGATTGACTGAGTTGAATACATATACGTAATTGTCTACATGTATCTGTATTATCATATTAATAACATATCATGCGAAATAACTAAAAACTCTCATTTCCATATGAGATAAGCGCTAATGATAAAGTTTATTTTGTTGTAAACTACAACTCCACCAAAGTACAACATATTTTACCGGAAATGTTATCTTCACTTTTCCTCCATAATATCTCTCCTATCAAATGTTATTTACTTTTCTTTCTTCCTCTCTCGATCTACAGGAACAAGCTTCATGGGTATGTCAGTGCAGTGATTCTACTGTTAGTCAGTTAGAGCATGATTTTAAACGTATTTTACAAAAGCACGCATCACTTGAAGAATGGGCTCAATGGTTAGATACAGTAGTGACTAGCATCTTACAACCACTTGAAGGCAATAGTTTGGCTTATACAAGAGCTGCACATCAACTAGTATTGAAATGGTCTTTTTACAGGTAAGTTTTTAATAATTGAATTAAGAAATCCCAAAATTTTCATAGTTTAAATTACAAAGTGATCTTCTTGGTAAGCGACCATTGGAAACCTGAAATCACTGAACAACTGTTTGATACCTAATATAGAACTCTTTAAAAGTGCTCATCCAGAATCCTAACCACAAGGAATCGAATCTAAATCGTAAATGCTTGACCTCTAAACCACTGAAACGACATCCAATAAAGGCAACCTTTATTCATTGCCTTCAATAGATAATTAATCGTTTCTTGCATGTCAGAGCTGAACTGCGTTGGTTACGGCCTCACCAGAACTCCAGAAGTTCCATCTTAAAGCTAGTTCGTGATTTAAACCATGAAAATTCTCCTATACTAGTAAAAATCCGAAAACATGTTTTGCACAATCTATGAATCGTATCTAGTTTGATTGATTCATCAATGGAATGATGATTTTGCATAAAATCCTTATATTTAACCCCACTCTCTTAGAAATTGGATGATAAATAACCAAAAAACCTGAGCTATGTTAGTTTTCTCCTTAGTAGCAGTAGAACCTCGTATCCAAGCTATTCTTAAATCACTAACATCCTGATTTTCATATGCCTCAAATTAGCCAATAAATAAAAGGTGGACAAAGTACACACTTTACTTGACAACTTTCAATAGCTTATAAAATGACTTTAAGAAAGTGAATAATTTATTACATAAAAAACCCCTTTAAAATGCTTTGGTTAAAGTTATACGGCTTTAGAGTTTAGATGTTAGGATTATTGCTATGTTTGAAGTGATTACGAAATCACCTAAAACCGGCAAACGGAACAAAAGTCAGAAACACAACAACAGGATAAGTTAAATTATTCCACTCCGCCCCAGTTCTAAAAACTAGAGTGAGAATACCGAATTCAGTCAAAGAAAATGTATATTCCACAAACAGTCAGAAGCACGAAAGAATAAACACACAACTCATACGTATATATATACAATACCAAAATGTCCTCGGAAAACGTCACAAAATAGGAGACGAACTAATGATATTTAAAGTCAGTCCAAGTGATAAATACAAATTGAAGGTAAAAGCGGGCGCTTTTGGCGCGAAAATGCTAAATTCTAATCCCCAAAATAAGATTGCAAAAATGAAATGTTTACCTAGTGATTTCTGGGGACTTAGCATCCTTAAGAAGGGTTAAAGTTAAAATATTCTTTATAGACATATGTGAATAGACATTTGACCAGTTAGTTTTTCTCATTTTTTTAAAGGAAAAATACCAAGAACTCTACTGTTGTCTTCAAGGTTTCATAAAATATGATCCTTATGCCTCACTCCCGTCATTCTTTTCAGTACTACTTATTTATTAGTTATTAATTTTATTAGTAATATATTGTACTGAACGAGAACTAATTTATCGTTTAATGCAAAATTACAAAGTGTATTCGTAAAATATGAAAATCATTACATTAAATGACACTATTTACACATCTTCCTTTTGTTGTCCTTTACATACTTCATAATTCTTTCAATTCTGTTGTTATTCCAATTGCTCTCTATTTCCTTTCCCATTCTCTTCAATTCAATATTCTCAATCATCTGCTGGCAACTATTCCACTTCTGATTAGTGTTAAACACTACTTATATTTGCCAGCATAAGTAGTATGCACCAAAATATAACCCCATCAATTCATGACACTCTAGCTTTCATGAAAAAATTTTATAACCACCATCTCAAATCTGATTAGTCAATTTAGAAAATGTATTCTTATCATAGGATCAATTTGAATTCCAATGTTATCTACTTTGTACATACGATCCATCCTAAAGAACATGATATACATAGATGTTATCATGAAAATATTGGTGTATGAGGTGGGGTATTTCTCCTGCAAAAGAAATTCATGCATATATTTTTATTTAGATCGTTTTGTTACTTCATCCCTTTACAGGATAAGTAAGTGATAGATTAAATAGGATAAGGATGTCTTAGTCCTACAAGAAGAGATTATTCAGGTGTTGAACAGCTCAGTGTTATGCTTATGAGTTTGAACACATCCCACGAGGTGAAATAATAATATATGCCGTATGAATAAGTGTTGAATAGTATCAAACTTAGGTCTTTAGGACTTATTGACGGTTGTTTTTGATCAGCCAACATACTGGTATTACGCTGGTTATATTCTTTGACTAGTGTTGTTTTCTTTACATGTGCTGCTTAAAACATACTATTTATTACTTACCCCACTCTTTCAAGTTGAAATAGTTAAGCTCCCATATACTATATGGGTCAAGTAAACGATCGGTCAATCAAAAGCAACATAAAACTTGGCATATGTGTACATCAGTTCAAGCTGCTATGTCCCCATTAGCACAACAAGATGTAATTATCAGGTCAAACAAATTCCAGAGTAGTAGCGGTAGTAACAATATTAATTGTAATAGAAGCGGTTAGGCATCGCAGATATGGTTCGGGAAATAAAACAAAATTGATGAAGTACTTAAAAACTTAGGATGTAAGGGAAGATGAAAAGCAAGTGCACCCACGCTATTCCGAAAATGCCTAGCCATGTTACCCAAAACATTGATTATAATAATCACTCTGACCCTAACCTGGTGGTCTGAAACTACCCATATGGCTTAGTCCAGTTGTGAGTGTCTTCATGGACTAATGTCATGTCTTGATTTAATCATCCCTAACTTTCTTCCTATCCATTCTTGTACTACCATTAACTCGCGTCGCATTCGCAGGTGGATGTCCACACGTAATACTTATCCCAACCATCTCAATCGATAACGATTCACTAACTAGCCATTGAATTTCCCACCCTCACCTAATACTCTGGGTCTAACATGAAGGTTGCTAACTCGCTGTTTCCAAAATATATGATCGATATTTCGAGGAGACTTTTAATCAAATACTAGTAATCAACAAGTATCCTACTTTTCATACCCATAAGGTACAAGGTAGTTATGTGCTGCACCGTATTATCATCCTTTAGCTGGTAGACGGATAACTCACTTGCACCACGATTGACACAAGTTGGCAGGGATCAGCCGAGATTTCGTCAGACATCAACATACCAAAAGTGATGAGACCCAAAAAATAAGTGAATTGGTGAACAATAGTTTACTTATCATTAATTTAGGCGTTTACTCAGGCCAAACTTAAAGTAATATTTCGAATCAGAAGGGAGAGAAACACATTGAAATCATACTTGTATTGTTGCTCAAGGTGGTCAAGAGACTGGAGTTTCTCAGCGTCTTCACCAAAAATAACTATATCAACTGAGTATTCTAAATCAACAAGAAATTCTCCTGTTAAAAGATTGATTTTTGATATGTATACTTATGTGTTCTTACAAAACTTCCGTAAGTTTAATCTCCTGAACTTTATTGAACTGTATCATTTGTTTTAAGGCTATTAATACGACACTATCTGGTTGCTGAAATAGGAGTAATTGAGCTGATGGTGTCGTAATCTGAAACTATGGTTACTGTACATAAATACATATTTACCACATCTTTAAACGACTAGTCTTATTAATCTTTTCTATATTCTTACAAGTTGTAGTTACATTTTCCTTGTGTATATATTGTCGTATTATTATTACTGTGTTTTCTTCACTTTTTTCCCTCACCAATCAGTTCAATGGTGATTAGAGATCTGACGTTGAGATCTGCATCGAGTTTTGGCAGTTTTCATTTAATTCGACTATTATATGATGAGTACATATTTTATTTAGTTGAGCACAAAGTCGCTGCACATTTAGGCATGACACCGGTCGCTGTTATGGGTGAAATGGGTAGAGTAAGTATTATTATTATTGTATGCAAATTATTAGTCATCAATACTCAATGGCTCAGTAGGTAACGTGTTGGTGTATTTGCTGCAAAAAAATCCTCATTTCTAGTCTCAATCCAAGTATCAATACTAACGAGTTTTAAGTAAGATGATACTCATACATTGTGTATTCAATAAATACGTGAACTGAATTACTATGATTGTTAGTTATGTAGTGATAGGTAAATAAATCTGTTTTGTAAGTAAATCAATCATTTCATTAAAAGCCGTGGAGACTTCAAGAATAATGAGATTCACCAAGCTCATATGTTGATGCAATCATTTACCATTCAGCTATCCAGACAAAACTGTAATTTGATTGATAGAATTTGTCGGTTCTAAAGACTAGGCAAAGATAACATTGTTCACTACTTAATAACCAATCTATAATAAACATCTTCGTACAACAAGAAGTCAGTCATGGCTTGAATGGCCCAGTGGCGAGGTTTCATATTGTAAACCTGGGTGACTAAAATTTTAATCTGTTACGTAACGTCAATTCCTTAAAGATTACAGGCTCAACTTACAGATGAATACCAACTAACAAGAAACATAGGTCCTTTGTTTTCTACCGACTGTTTGTATATGTCTTTAAGCTGCACGCTAGTCGTACTAATTAACTATCTCTACTTAAATAGAAAAAGTGTGATTTCCCAATAAGATCATTGGAAACTGTTTCGTTTTATTATTAACTTACATAAACGTCTGAGATTTTGATTCGACCAAATACTACTACTACTTAGAGATATAAGTAGTCGAATGCTACTCACTATTTTGCTTTCTTGAGCCTCAGAATCATTATTGATGTTTGTAGAAATTCGTTGATGACGGTGTGGGCAGTATACATTGTTGAGTTTATAGTGTGCCTACTTACATCACTAATTTTATTTCTCAATAATGTGGTATGAGAATTTGTTATGCATACAAGAATTGACGAATGGATTTGATTGATAACAACGTAATCTTCGGTGGATGAAGTTGTAAGGGTAGTTTTTAACTCCTGAAGGTACACATCGTGAAAAGATATTATTGAGCTACCTGAAAAAAGAACTAGATTCTTAGCAGTAGAATGGTCTTGTCACCCTGGGAGAATGACTGAGGCTTCCAAAAACAACTTCTTGAAACTAGTCACACGTGGTCGTTTCGGGATTAGTTTTTGATATATTAGCTCTATACATCTCAAACTTTCTGGCAATAGGAATTTATGAGGCAAAGTGAAGTGTATTCTTTTTAGGCTTGATTTTTCTAACCTCCTTACCTTATAGTATTGTGAAATCGTTACAGATTTAAGCCATCTAAGTGAAATTTTTGTAACTTATTTATAATAATGATGTTTTCATAGTAGACAGAGAGTTTTAATCAGTTCTGGAATTCATTATTACTTCTAATAGGGTTCTGTATTCTCCCGTTACTACTGACATCCAGAACTTGATTTTTTTGTTTAAATTAAGCAATATTACTTCTATACTATCTGCATTTTGAAGTTTTACTATGATCTGTTCAAAACGAATAGCGGATAGTGGAATCCAAAATGTATGTTTCATTCAGTTAATTAGGATACATCACTTGGTTATCTTAATGTAGTACTGCTCATACACTAAGAGATTCAATATTTGAAAATTGTAAACATTCTACAATGAATACTCGTAAATTAAATTGTATTGGCCTGTGTGATTCTGTTGTGGTTCAGCATTCGAAACCCCCATGGATCAGTCACTCAAATTCAATCTAGAACCTGGTACATGTTGAATTTGCCATACCACATCAGCGCAACGAGATGAAGTTTTCAGGGTGAATCCCAATTTAATGCAGGTAGTAACGGTATTAATGGTTAGGCATTAGAGATTCGATCAAAAAACTGATGATGAATATGGAAACTTAGGATCCAAGAAAAGACAAAGAGTAATTGCGCTTGTGCCATTGCGAACAATTTTGAGCCATGTTACCTACCTCTACTCGTTGGTTACGATAACCAGGCGGAGCTCATCCAGATTGTCTGCATCTACCTACATGACTCGGGCCGATTGTTACAGACTTCATGGACTGATGTAATGTCTTGCTTTGGTCACTCTTAAATTTCTTCCGACTTACTCCTACACTAGACAGCATCACGTGTTGAGGTAATCGGGGGATGGTTGTATGTGATACGTGTTCTAAGCATCTCAGTCGATAACGACTCACTACCTAGTCAATGGATTTGCCACACTCACCTAGTACTTTGGGTCTATAGTGAAGGTTACTAACTCTGAGCTTTGTCATTCAACTTGTCCAACCACCAATCGCGGTTATCACACGCAGTTCAACCACATAATCTGTGCCTATCAATATGTTACTGACTAAGTAAATTGATGTCATGTCTTGGTTTATTCACCCCTAGTTTTCTTTCAACTCCTTACTTTACCCAACATTGTATCATAAAGTTCTGGAGTTTTTATGCTTTACACTTCTGATCATTAGTCTCTAACTGATAAGATCCTTAATATGTTAAACCCAAGTCAAAATAACTGCTTTTTTATCTTTTAAATGTTATTACCCTACAGGATATTACTCAACAACATTGTGCTCAAAATCGATTACATTTGGACAATCGTAATGTTCCTGGGAAATCTTCTAAATCTATTCACAATAATAGTAATACAACAGTACATGATTCTCCACAACATGATAATTCGAATTATTTGCCGTTTGTTAATGATGATAATAACAATGATAACAATAATAATGTAGATCATACAAATCCTATATTTCATCAACAAAAACACTCAATTAATTTAACTAAAGACCGTGTTGCTGTTGTAGGCAATGATGATTGTAATCCGGACACTAACACTAATAATGTTATTAGTCGCGAGAAAAATAGACGGGAACAACAACAATTAGACAGTGACGGTGTCATTGTTGACGAAGATGTCATGGATCATCATCATGACGATGACGAAGAAGTGGATGATTTCGATGAAGAAGTTGATGAGTACTTAGACGATGAAGATGAAGTGGATGATTCATTAGGTGATGAAAATGCCATGTTAAAAGAAGCACATGCTTCAGCACAAGCTTATTGTCGAAACTCTTCAATCGCTGCGACTTCTACTTCTACTGTCCTGATACCTCAATCATTAGATTCAACTGATGATATGCCCAATACTACTGGCAGGAAGAAAGATACTTTGAAAATGGAAGATGAAGCAAGCCATGAAAAACAGTCAAACATTCAAGATGTTATTGTCAGTGATAACGATAACAATAATGATATTGTTGACGACGAAGTGGTAGTAGAGAACACTGACGAGGGAACCGATAACAATAAAAATAAATTAGAGAAGTTAACTCAAAAACATCCGAATCTACTCAATAATGATAAAATTAGTTCGTCGACACCTGTTGAATTAACTGTTCAACAATCCAATAAAGATAAAATATCAACCAGTACAACGACAACCACTGGTAGTTGTTCTCCACCGTCAATCGTAACAATGGTAAAGTAGAATATATCATATATGTATATATATTTACGTATTAATAGTGTTATGTACTCAGTTAGATAGTTTAATTACGGATCTCTTATTGTCATTCTGAGTACCAAATCATTTCGTTCCGATATCCTACCTCCTTTGTTTGTAATTGGCCTTTCAAATCGATAGGTATAATAATTACAGAGTTGCTAAAAAGCTTACTTTTAAATAAAGTAAACTCCGATATCGTTGAACGGAACGATATAAGAAACTTCGTAATTATACTATCATCCAGCTCAGAGAATATATCCATCAAAGTATCCATCTTAACAGTAAATTTTCCTCGTTAATTCAAATGTAAGGTTTGCATGAAGATTTAAAAATAAACGAGAACAGAAAATCCGGCAAAATTTGTGGGGCATTATGTCAACAGAGGATTCTCATTATAAAATATACAATACTTCATAATAAACTAGTTCTCTTATATATCTGTTCAAGGCATAAATATTTAGTATTAGAAAATATGGAAACACTGGACGGATGTTTCGTCTCAGTATGGAACTCCTCAGTAGTATGCATCCTCGATCCTGCATTCAGAAATCGAACCCAGGACTTTCAGTTCCACATGCGAATGCTTAACCTTGTGAATTCGATTGTGAAAACACTACAATCTCCATAAATCCCTATACTGATTAGAAAATGTATCAAAATAATGGTGCGTAACTGTTATACATCTCCATCTACCTGTAAACGTTTACAATACTTATAAATGACCTTCTTGTGTAATATACCATTTAGTGCATAAATTCCATTATATCATCTTTCCGTTCAAATAGATGAACAAGTAGAAAACTACTAATTAATCACCGAGTAGTAATGATCAATGTCGAATTGTGTAATATTGTTCTATGCAATGTTAAACCACTTAAACGAGTGACATATACATTATAATTTGACTGATAGGCTTCGACCATCAATAAAGGACTAGATAAATATGACATTGGTTAATACTTACTAACTACTCAATGATCAATCAATTATAAAGTAGGGAAATATACAGTCATTGTGTTTGTAGGTGTAGTTTTTTCGTTTGAAATTATGGACTGAAATACTTTTTCTGTACGTATGTAGATGTGTATGACTTTTACAAAGTCAGTATAGGATTGTTGAGATTATGAACCGATCAGTGTTAGACCACCATTGGAAACTTGGAAGCACGGGACGGCCGTTCTGTCCTAGTATGAGACTCCTTAGCAGTGTTCATACTAGGACAAAATGGCCATCCGGTCCTTCCAGGTTTTCAACGGTGGTCTTACACTGATCAATTCGTGAGCTCAATCAAAACTTTTATAAAGATTATTTAAGTACACAGAACATAATTATACGGTGAATATTCCTAACTAATTAGTTAGAATAAGCCAAAAACAATCCTTAACTATTAATGTCATGAACGTTTTACAATATTTTAATCCTAACTCATTCGTTAACTAACAGTGTCTATGTAATCAGCATTGAATTATAGATAGACTTACAAGTCAGACATCAACATAGAGAGCCTGCCACAAATCTGCATTGACACAAGTTGCTATACCAGCTTTTAGGAAGATGAGATAGGAATAGAAGAGATCGAAATAATATAGTAGCAACGATAAAAAAGAAAAACTAAACCTTGAAAATATGGTTTGAAAAGACAGAATATAAGGTTATACATGAGGGCGTCGTTGTGACTGATAGGGAGCCATGTTACCCGACATCTGCAACCATTAATTACGATCATCTCGTGGACTTGATTCAAGTAGTCTTCACCTACCGTCCTAGCTCAGATCAAGCCAGTGGCTTCACATGAACTGACGCCAAGTTTTGGTTGGTTCTCCCTTAGATTTCCTTCAGCCTACGTCCGCACTAGCAAACATCATCCGTTAAGGTAACATATGTATCAAATATACATAGTATATCTGAAACTAGACAGCTTCTATACACGGCCACAAGAACTGAGTTGCGATTTATCTTATCTTCTGTCTCAACAACAATGTTAGGTCATGGAAGAAGTTGAATTTTTAGATAAGATTTAGATACACTCACCAGATACTTGTTAGTAAGCCACACTAATGCTCCGTTTCCCGAATCGAAGCGAATTGTGCTTCGAACCTGGAAACTATTGACTACGAGTCGAACCCCACTTCACAGGTCTTCAGACGTTTTTCATCTGGGCTTATTAGATCATTTGATTGTATTTTTATTTGTAACTATTTAAGTACATATTCAGCCGAACTGACTTGCGAATCACAGTTACTGTTCCACCAAAGTATGTATGTCCACTCACATACACATAGTTGTGAATTGGTAAACAGTAAGATGTGACGCATCTATTTACGTGCCGTTTAAGTTCTTGGTGAAGCAAAGATATTGTTTTTTTGTTCACTCATAATCATTGTGAATGGGTATATTTCGCTTACATATATGTGTCACATTTTTTCTTTTTTATTTAAACACATAAACATTAGTACAAGGAGGCACCAAACAGATATGCGCCACACTTCATCATTCGATCTGTGTGAGTGCTAGGATACTGCCCGGGTGCCCAAACCGAAGCAGGTAGTTTACTTAGAGGGCCACACCCGGAGCCTTCGACCTAAAAGTTTGGTCCACAAGGCAGGGAAGCAACGTCAGGAGATTCAGTCCCATGGTGGCAGGTGACCAATGATTGGTTCGTACGCCGTTTGCCCATATGCACCATTGGTTTTGTATGAGGGTTTTTCAACGCGCCTAGGTGGACCCTCCGTGTTTACTAACCCGGTTAAAGTGCCAGACATTCGCTTTTCGTCCTCTCAATTTCGTAAACAACAACCACGAGAAGGCAGTGAGTAGGACTTCCCTGTCAGTGGTTGTATGCACGTGGCCGTGTGAGAGCATTTCGAGAGGGAGAGCGCACTCTCCTCACTCTCGGCCGTACCAGGACACATTAATTCTGATAAATACCGCCTTCTTAGTGCATTATTTAAATTGATCAAAAGGATTATTGTCGTAAATAACTGATTTTCCTGTTTGCTTTTATTATTTTTAAATTTTTTTTAGCCTAATCCTGTACGTAAAGTTGTCCGTGTCACTACATTTTGTGATGCAAAACAACCATCAGTAGTTGTAGAGTCGTCATTTGCTAATTCTACACCATTTACAACTACTGTAGCTACTACTACTATTGCTTCTACTACTGCTAATACTCCACGTTCAATTAATGTAAAACAATCACCACCTGGATCATCAACAATATCAACACCAACAATAACAATTAATTGTAATAGACCAATTGAAATTCATCCTTCTACTTTTCATATCACTACAACAACTCCATCTTCTATTATTAATAATGGCAATACAACAATAGTAAATAAACTAAATGTTACTACCAATTCAACTATTCCTACTGATATAATCTATGCAAAACGACCAAAATTATCCTAATCACTATGTATACCTTCCTATTTGTTTCAATGAAAGAACCTCATTATTAATATGTGCATTACAATCATTAATTATTGCATATCACAAAACTGGTGAAAGGCAGCAGTCATTAAAGATAATAAAGTCTGTGTGTTTTTCCACAGACTTTTCTATTCCCTCTTTTACACTTTCATAACTATCATCACCTATGTTGTGCTTGTGTGTGTGTATGTATGTATGTATTGAATAAACGTTTAGTACAATTTAATAATTTCTTGTGTGCACAATCATTCCATTTTTTTGTATATTGTCTGTTTATTGATTATCCAATCACTAAAGTTTGTGTTTTGATGATGAGACTCTGTACACATTTATATGTTGAGAGAGAGAGGGGAATGCGCACCTAAAAGGAATGGGACAGATCCTTTCCATTCTCTATGATAATAACTCCAATTGAGTATACTTTTGCACTATTTAAATATTCTTGTCAATATGACAACTGTTTGCAGTATGTTCAAGTGTATGTATGTATGTGTGTGTGTGTTTTGGTTATTGTGTTAGATTGTCATGTTGTCTGTTTTGTGTATATTAATGATTTCTGTATAATAAAATCAACAATCTTAAGATCTTCCATTGTGTTGAGTTGTAAGACACAATTCATTTGTGCTGAAGTTATAATGACTACTACATTACAACTTGGTAGGATTTGATCAGTGTTTATTTCAGTCGTATCAGATGTGGTGGTCGTACCAACAGATTGTGATGACCCAATCGAGTTATTTTAAATGATACCATGCCAGAGTGATCGGATGAGGATATCGTCAAGACTAAAACATAACTTAAGGTTTAAAGGGAGAAAGTCACAGTACTGGCTCTACAACTTATCTAACAGCAACAAGATATAGCTTACAAATAACATACGGTTACTACCTTCCCACAACGGAAGGAGGGAGTTAAAATTGGTCGATCCTAAGAACGGCACTCATCTCTTTCAATCAGATATTTGGTCCCTTAGCTCTGTCGTCACACTCCTCAGTCATCATGAACAATCTTACCCCAGTTTTCTTTTTATATCCTTCCAATGTCTAGGCCAACTTGAAGTGATAAATGCCCGAAAACCTCTCACAGCACTCAAACTCACTACTAAAACATATACATAAACATGACGTCAATGTTACTAGTACTGAAGATCGGTCGCAACTTGAATAGCTTAATTGTTATGTCTCAGACTGAAATTGAGTAATGCTAGTTAAAACCCTACAGATGATATCATATCCCTCAAAGCCACATGTTTGCCTTGTCTCCTGTCAACATAAAGATGAACTACCAATTGGAACCAAACTAGGTGCAAGATAACATTTCAACTCACGACCCAGTAGGGTTAACTGGGTCTTTATTTATACGATTTAACTCATTTGCTTGGTAAGTAACGACAAATCTTTTGCTTCCATCCTTTACCATTCAAGATTTGTATCTATGTAAAAGCCAAAGCCGTATGACATCAGAATCATATTTGTGTACTAAATTGTAAGGATTTGAATCTTTCCATTTATGTTAAGGACTCACTTTGTAAGTGAATAACGCGTTGGACGTTTGAAGCTAGAGGTGGTTTGTTCTAGTTCCAGCGCAAGCATCGACACAGATGTAGTTGCATCCAGCTGACAAGTCCCAGATAAGAAGAAGTACACGTCTTGGATATCACTCCTAGCCATTATCAACCTTCGCATAAGAAATCCTTGCTCTAGAGCATTCTACTCTGTTATAGTTATTATCTTAGATTGACGTTGAAAATATCCAGTACTATTTAATGAGTATTAGATATTAACACACAAACCGAAGTACCTTGAAAAGTATATATGATATATAAGGTAAGTCTCATTGCAAAGCACGTACGAAACCATGGTTATCATCCTCGTGACCAAACTATTATCATTATGATTGAATGATAATAAAATATTTTAAGTGAACCTTGAAATTAACTAGGTACCAGTTTTTAGCAATGTTATAAGTCACTTTAAGATGTGTATGTGATATGAACAGAGGAACAAAGAAGTCTTGATGTATCTTTTTACACTAATCTGAATTGGAAATAAAGTGAGTAGTGTTCTAGTTGACTTGTCTTCTCTTTCTCTTGTGTGCTTGTCAGCCAATCAGATGATAGGATAGTTTTTGTCTCTCTACTTCAAGTAGTTGATGTCACTTAGAATTCACACATACTAACCTCACAAGGTCAAGCCAGTCAGTCTATCACGTCAAGATCTTAGTCTAGATTTAGACAAGTTATCTTCTCTGCATAGAAGGGGGTAGGCAGGTCAAGGATGTAACACTATGTTATTTCTGAATATTATTATTACTGAAAAGAACTTGCTTTTCATAGAAAGTCATTCAACTGAATGTTAATAGGTATCTTTTTTTCTAGATTATGTATAGTTTCGTCGGTGATGGGTTCAATCTATCTAAAAATTTCTACTGAATTTATGCGCACTGCTGAGGAGTCTCACAATAGGACGAAATGGCCTTTCAGTGGTCCCAGGTTTTTCATGGTCGTCTAGCTTCAATTGACTCATGATCTCAACCATTGAAATTACTACAATATCCACAAAACCTTTCTGATATGAATTTATATTACCTAGAAAGAAAATGAAAAAGTTTCAATTCAGAGAATGTAACTGCACTAAAACAACTTTCGGCGAAACTATAATTTATGGAGAAATCAATCAGGCTTTGGGATAATAGGTCTCAGATTTTGGCACGAAATTCACTCATCCAAAACAGAGTTTTGGCATTATAGCTGATATCAGTTCGTGATGAAAACTCTAAATCTAGTTCCTAACTCTAATCATCAACTGTAAATCATAAGTCTAATTCCTCACATCTTCATTTGGTCTTAGTTACCAGGTGGATACACCTAAGGTCACTACTCTATCGTTGTTTAAAAGTCGTCCATAAATTATAGTCTCCCCTATTCACACTTTACCTTTTGGCTTGTTCATGTATAGTTTTTTTATTTTATTTTATGGTATGATATGGTCTGGTATGTCAGTGTTTAGTGTCCCTAAATTTGACTCCATATTAGAAGGCTGCGTGTTCACATATCACGTCGAGCACACCACGTTAACGGCACTAAATCTGACTCCAGTTATATCGTATGAATGATTGTTATTGAAATATACATATCATCAATCCTCTCATTAGTGAACAACGGAATTAAACAAGTCAAATACGAGAATAGATGTTTGAATACGTATATTTTTTACACTCATTGATCTGGACAAACAATCGAATGAACGAAGAGAAGAGAGCGAATCGAAATGACGCGCAGTAAAGAAGTCGTGTAAGCCAACTCAATATAGCCAAGCATGAATTGATATTTATAGTCGAACAAAAATAAGTTACAAACATGTGATGGGTAAAATAAGAAATGCACACATACACTTACATAAAAACAATCAAAGGTTAATAAGCGAATAAGTGACAGGGTAAAAATGTGATTTGAGCAGAAGGAATAGATTGATCTGTTCAGAATCTAGAATAACCTTTGTAGGCTTAACATAGCAGCCGACACTATTTTTTTTCTGGATTATAAATATTCTAGAGGTTGGTTGCAGACTTTTAGACTCAGGTGAGAAGCTGGTGAATCATGAACCAATATTAACATAACTGTTAATTCAAGGTTAATTGTACTGGTTGCCATGTCAGAGACGCTAAGTCATACAGTGAATAATGGACGAAAAATAGACCAATTTCGAATCAGGCTTCGGATTGGTGATCTATCATGTGAACTTGGTCAACGGTCACACGATATACTCTACATGATATTATTTTCACCAGTTCTAACAAATGTTCACACTGTATACATGAAGAGGTTTTTGCATATAAATTAAGAAAAATCACATTACTTACCGAATTTCCTGTGTAAGGCAATGGAAGCCGTGACCAGTGGAGCTAATGCATGTCGGGTAGAGACATGGGAGTTGGTCGCGCAATTTCGTGTATTGGTTGATCTTAGACACTATCACCACTGGATGCCGACTCAGTGGTCCAGCAGATTAAGCGTTCGCGTGCGAGACCGAAGGCCCCGGGTTCGAGTCTCGTGGGCGGGATCGTGGATGCGTGCTGCTGAGGAGTCCCACGGTAGGACGAAACGGCCGTCCAGTGCTTACAAGTTTCCAACGGTGGTCTAACATTAGTCGGTTCATGATCTCAACCAAAAAAATAAGGAATTCTATTGATCATGTCTAGTTTGACAGTAATGGTAGAGTTTAGAACTATTAAGTATCGCCGATAAATGTGTTACTGCTTATTTTTCTGGTTCAGTATATTTCATAATAATGCTCAGCTTTGGGTAAATTTGAAGTTATACAATCAACATTTTACCATTAACTCAATGAGACAGAGTTCTAATAATCAGGTTTTTTGATAATGTACAGTTATCATACAAAATGTGGCATCACTCTACGAAGTCATTAATCGCTTAACTAAGTCATGTTGTTAGGTAAACAGTACGTCGTTGAGATCTATATGATTATCGTGGCCACTAGTCAATGACATGACGAAAAATCGGTCACGATCCACATTCATCCACTTTTAGTGTTCTCATTCAATTCAGTCGATCTAGATCTACATTCATCACACTGATAATTCCAAGACATCAGGTGAAACCGGTTCGCCAATTTCTTCAACAAAAGAACGTTCAATTCCTCTTGAGCACCAACGGGACATTATTTTGCCAAGGAGGTACACTGAACGATTTCATTGCATACACGATCGACTCTGTCTCTATTGTAGATACTCATCCGAAAACTGATCTATCAATCTTCAACACAAATCAAGTCAGGAGCACGTGAATCACCTGACAAACCCATACAGTAATCAATAATTTATTAAATAATAAAGGCATAAACAAATTAGGAAATCGGCTTGTTGCGTCAGTACAAGTCGTGAATTGCAATTCGAACTACTGACTGTTATTTAGTAGTTTGTATGTAAATTGCAAAAGCAGGTGAGAAACAGCAGATGGTAGAAGAAAAACACATAATGAGTCAGTTGAAGCTAGACCACCATTGAAAACCTGGAAGCACTGGACGGCCGTTTCGTCCTGGTATGGGACTCCTCAGCAGTGGTGCGGGATCGTGGATGCGCACTGCTGAGGAGTCCCATACCAGGACGAAACGGCCGTCCAGTGCTTCCAGGTTTTCAATGATGGTCTAGCTTCAACTGACTCATGATTTCAACCTGTGAAATTTCTAAAACTCCCCACAAAACCCATTCTGATAAAAAACACATAACTTAAATAATGGACCGACAAATCCTAAACAAATTCAGCTTTCATCGATACCACAGTGCCACAATAGAATCAAGCCTCTCTATTCGTTTTTTACATCTCCCGTGCTCTGATGGAAAAGCATAGTGTGGAAGATGGTTGTGATGTTCTGCCCAGATTGATTAGTAAAAACTTTACCGGGGAAGCCTAAGTAGACCCTTCTGGAATAGACTCCATGTTTTCAAGGCTGACAAACCCACCGCTTGAATGTGATTTCGCTAGGAACTGCGGTCCCGAAGGTCTTTGCTTGCGTATAGATATTGTATCAACAAGAGTAAGTGTAGAATTTTTTAAATATTTCCTTGCCAC